AGCTTTCCTGTAGCCCCTTTAGGTGCTGGAAAGCTGCTATAAGATCACCCCGGAGCCTTCTCTTCTAAGTAGTAAGAGGAAGTGCTTAAACACTAAATTCCTGTTTGCAAAGCATCGGATGAGCGTGGGAAGACACCTGGTTTCCCCAGCGTCCCCTCGCAGGCTTACACGGGGGACCGGCCGCGTGTCGGTGACCACGAGGTCACGCTCAGGATTGCCCTCGTGCTTCTCTGTCCTCGCACCCAGCACTTGAGCCGAGGGTGGTTTTCCCGAAGCGCCTTTTGGTCACTGCAGGGTTTTGTTCAGCAGTTCGTACGGTGCCCGGCACTCTCGTGCCCTCCCCAGCCGGTCCCTGCCTGCCCCGTGCTCCCACGGACAGCCTGGCACGTGCCTGCCGGAGCGCTGGGTGCAGCCCCTGTGTCTGCTTGCTTTCTTTGGCAACAACCCATGGTTTTAGGGCGCAGGCGATTGCCTCGAACGTCACTGTGTCTTGGTGGCCAGAGTTTGCACGTCCCTCGCTTAGTCATACGGCACAAAATTAAGATGTGGATGCCTTTTTTTTTTTTTTTTCCTGTCCTGTGGAACAGCCACCTGCAAACGCTTCACTGGGACCATTCAGGTCGAATGTTCAAAATGAGCCTGGACTGACTCACCCTTCTTGACGGTTCCTTAATGTTCAAACTGAGCTTCTGAGCTTCCTGACTTCTGTATGTTTAAAAGTGTGTGTCCTAAGCTACTGCTGTTTCCTTTCATACAGGTATTTTTTAATTCCCTCTGGGCTTTTCTCCATCCACCACTCCCCACCAGCTGTTTGTCCTGGATCCGTGCGTTGCTTCAGCTGTTCTAAATTACATCAAAAGTTAGTTACAGATTAAAGGTCAACTGAGGGCAATCTGCTGCAGCTGTAACGGCCTTCTGCTGTGACCCCTGCGGGGTTGTATGATTCATAGGATCAGTGCTCTTGCCAGAAGAGCAAAGAATTGCTCATAAAACCCTTGTGTTAGGAAGCTGCCCTGTCTGGAAGCACGTGGGCAGGTCGGGGCATTTAGAAAGACAACTGTCACGGCCATTCCTGGCAGCCCAGTGCCAATATCAGCCCCCCGCCAGCTCTTCCCTGTCTCTCTCCTCTGGGGGCGGGTGCTGTTGTACCAATTAAAATCCCTGGTTTTAAAACAAGGCAAGGAGTGTTCAGGTTTCCATCTGGTGGCCTGGCCCCAAGGAGGCAGGTAGGGCTGCTCACGGCGTGGTACGTGGGAAGACCAAAATGGTTTTTCAATGCCAAAGTTGGGTTTTATTAGAGGAGAAACTGGAGCAGGCAACTTCTCAAAATAGAGAACGCTCAACCCACTGCTTGGGTGAGATAGAGTAAAAATAGAGAGAGTTTATTGAAAAGAGGAATTACAGTGGGAAATGTTTCTCCTTGCGGGCAGACCACAGGCTCTGGCTCGCTGCAGCACCTCCAGCTCCACAGCTCACCGGGATCCCCAGCTGGGTCCTGGTCATCCCAGTGCCAGGGCTGCTGCCTGCCTGTCCGTGCAGCATCCTGTGGCATCGCCCGGCAGGCTCCGGGCTG